AAACAGTCTGTTTGAAACTATGCATTGATGATTCTTTCCCCTTTTCACGTACACCGCAATATCCATTCACTAATGCTTTAAAACGCTGAACAACACTAACGCGCCTGATATTGGAACACGGGGGAAGTTGCACGTTGCTGCCATAAAAAGGCACATTATGCCGATACTGCTAAACCTCATTACGCAGCATATTTGTGTGAAATATTTCCCAATCACTTCTTGTGTAAGGTTCATTTTGTGATCAGTACAGGAATAACCTTTTAAAGTTCAGTTCAATCGCATTCCTCGCTGTTCACCATTATCCATTCCTTTCATTCTGGCTGTGGGGAACTAACAACAGCCAAAGTAACAGATTGCTTGATAGCACGGGGGGCTTGTTCATTTTCATCCATTACAGTAAGGTTTATATAGCGTGAGAGGTTGGGTGTGCCCAACCGGTGATAGTGCATCACTTCCAACTGTGTAGCCAACAGGCACAAGAGCTCTGGTCTGCGGAAGCAAATGCCGGCAAATGATTCTTGTCAGAGGAAAAGAGCGCATGCACTAACATAAGACATTTCAGGTTGTTTCAATGAGCCCCAAAGCCTAGGATATTTTTTGTATTCATTCATCGTTCATCATTCCTTCAAGTGTTGTGTAAGGCGCCACCTGCTTAGAATCCGTCAATTTTGCCCCAGAATTCTAAAAAACGTATTTTGGTTTTCTCTTATCCGTTTGGTCATCACAGAAACACAATCTGTGTGACTTCCCATTCAAACACATTACAGAATCACAAAACATAACTCGGTCCCACAAAGCCGACAGTTCACTTGCATCAACGCTTTGATTTAGATATATAGGAGTCATTCAAACAGGTCATCTCAGTAATTGTTATGTAAAGCGATTAAGCTCACCAGGAAACTTCATGCTTGCTCAGAATTTATTCTTGAGCATTTGCTACAATGGTCAAGAAACTTTCAGATTGCCGCCTAGGGAAACATGCCATTATACAGCCTCTGACTATCCATCAACTGATGTTAAGCTTTTTCTACATCAGAGAATTCCACTATCCATTTGCATCTGATCTATCCTCTGTGGATAATTACTCAATTTTCTAGTCCAGTTCGCACTTGTTTTCACTTGTGGAATGTTTCACTTTTGAATTTCTCTACTTTCGCCTGTGGTACCCTACTTAATGTGTGCTAGAGCCCGTCAATTCCACAAAAGTGTGGATTTAGCCGTACATACGATAATGTAAGTCACCGCCTGAAAATGGGCTGAAACTAATTTAAAAGAATACCCTATTTGATCAGTTCCATTTCTCTTGATCCTAGACGCGAGGGCAGAAATTCAGATAGGCATGAAATACAATCGAGGGAAATTTCAAAAAATGACACAAAGGCAAATATCAGTTCTGGGAGAACATTTTTCTTTAGTTGCTAAGAACGCATATTTTCTTGCTGTACCACCATTTTTGACAAAGTACAAAATTTTCACTGCTGCTGCTTCAAATTCACCAATTTCATTCGTCGACTATTCTTCATAGTTTCTTCAAAAACAATAGAACGAGGCTTTACCGTAAAATCAGAATTTTCTTCCCGTCAGTGTTGTAATTTTTGAGGTAAGCACAACTTGAGCTGCAGCAGAGTTGTTGTGACGAAACGAGAAGTCAGTATTGTAAGTGGCTGCTGTTACGGAAATAAATTCGGCGCACAAATAAAATCAAACATCTTACCATTCGAATCAACCGCAAAGTCAATAAGCGTGCCGATGAAGACTGGGGGCATCTTTTTCGGTTCTCGCTGAATGCAGTCTGAAGTACTCATCAAGACGGCTGATTTCGAAACCTGCGAAACAAGTGCAGGTAGCAAACCTGAGGACACCACATCAGAGAAATATACCACGACCAAATCTTCTTTTCGGAGCAGCCGACAACGCTCCATCAAGTCCCCCTGTTCATCTACCACGTGTCTGTCGTGTTTTTCTGGAAATATAACCGCACAGTACGGTCCATCGACCTGAACAGGTAAATGATATACGCCTAACAGCAACAAACTGGCAACGACAACGAACAAACGCCTGTCTACAACGTACCATCATGACGTTTCCGACAGTAAAGCTTCTGTTCTCTTCAATTATCACGACGTCCTTCAAATTCCAAGCTTCCTCCTTTTCGACCACTTCCTCCTTCAATGCCATCTGAGCAAGCCGTTTCACTCGTCCTATAAGCAGACAACATAACATTAGTTTATTGCGTGAATTCAAAATTACTACGTAGATTAAGCAGGATTGGTGTACGCGAATCGCTGCTGTCTCCACTACCGCTGCTCCCTGTTGCTTGAACTTCAGAGCTGGCAGTATTAACGCCGGTAACGGCGCTGGCATTAGCACTGGAACTAACGTTGTTACTAGCGCTGCTACTGTTACTCAGCAAGGGGGGTGAATCATCGATACTTTCGAGCTCTTTAAGCGTTGAACTGGAAATTGAAAATTGGCAGTTCAGACAATTTAAGCGTAAAACCTAAGGGCGTAACTTACTTCAGGTCTGAACCGTGCGAAACAACGCGAAAGCGACACGTTTCATTGATCGTCCAGGCTGATTCCATCAACACACCAACCTGTGGATATCCGTTGACTGTCGTAAAGCCAACGGCGCCTGAATGATACATCGGCGTAGCCCTGAGACGAACCTTCAAAAATAAAACCCATCAGGTCAACATATGAGCATAACACAAATAAAGCGAAAAACTAGTCGATCAACAATGACGTACCTGGCAACCGGGCGTTATCTCGTTCGTGTCAAAACTGACATGACGCTTCGCTTTGGCTTTCGTTCGTTCCAACATTTTTACGCGCTGGTTGCATGGCAGCAAACCCCTTGAGAAGAACACAATGAAACGGTACGATGAAGACCGCCGAATCAATTAGCGAAAAACGCTTATGCGCAGTGCTTACCACCAATAAAAGTAGCCAGATTTCAATTTGACAAAAGAATATATTGAACAACATCGCACTTCAACCGGTTCTTCATTCATCAAAAAGCATGGAACATCTAACGCGTCAGCAATCGACTCCCCAAGAAGATCGTCGACGAAGCTAGCTAACTTCTTTTTCTCCGTCATCAATGTAGCTCTTACTGACGATGTCGCCAGACCGGTGATTCGCTCTTGAGTTAAGAGCAGCTTTGCGCTCTTACTATGAATCGTTACCTAAATTAATAACACTAATTGCAATGCAAACTCGAAAAAAACGCAAAGCAGATATTACCGATGGTGTGTTTTGACTCCAAGGCCATTCGTAAAGTTTACCCGAAGTACTAACAGCAATAAGCGATGAATACATGGCACCAATGGCTTCAAACAATAAAGGCTTTAAATCCTAAATGGTTCAGAAATATTTCAACTGAGTCAATTCACAAACTCAGCACATTAATCGAAAATGTTCCAAAAACAATGAAATTGACATGTGGTGAACGAGCTTACTATGGCGCCACTGACAACGCGACAGATCAAACAAAAACGAACAGAGAAAGTTTCATATGAATTTCGTGAAGGTAGATGGGCTAATCAACTGAAGACATTTCTCCG